CTTATTGCCATGGGGGATGTTTGTGTCATCGTGGTCATGGATTGGTTGAGCAAGCTCGGTGCGGTTATCGACTGCGATCGACAATTAGTGACCATACGAGACCATAGTGGGGGAGTTCTTACAGTATACGGTGAGGGTACCCATTCTGGATCAGCATTTTGTTCGGCCGCTAGGGTGAGGCAGTGTCTACAGCAGGGCTGTAAGGGTTTTTTGGCTTACGTGTCAGGTTACGCGGGTTGATTCCAGGAGACCGAGGTCGGTGGAGGGGGTTCCTATAGTATGTGAGTTCCCGGATTTCTTTCCAGAGGAATTGCCGGGGGTGCCTCCTGTGAGGCAAGTAGAGTTCGGTATTGATTTGGTCCTGGGGGCCGCGCCTATCGCTAAGGGGCCTTATCGTCTTGCAACTCCCGAGATGCAAGAGTTATCCTCGTAGCTTCAAGAGCTGCTGGGGAAAGGGTTTATTCGGCCGAGTAGCTCGCCGTAGGGAGCGCCCATTCTGTTTGTAAAGAAAAAGGATGGTTCACACCGGATGTGAATTGATTACCGGGAGTTGAACAAGTTGACGGTCAAGAACCGTTACCCGTTGCCGAGCATCGACGATTTGTTCGACCAGTTGGAGGGAGCATCTTGGTTTTCCAAGATCGATTTGAGGTCTGGATACCATCAGGTGAGGGTGCAAGATGAGGACGTCCAGAAGACAGCGTCTAGGATGCGTTATGGGCATTATGAGTTCGTGGTGATGCCTTTTGGGGTCACCAATGCTCCGACAGTGTTCATGGATCTCATGAATCAGGTGTGCAGGCCGATGTTGGATTGGTCGGTGATCGTATTTATTGATGACATTTTGGTATATTCGAGATCTAGGGAGCAGCATGAGGAGCATTTGAGGGAGTTCCTCGGAGTTCTGAGATCGGAGAGGCTTTATGCCAAATTCTCCAAGTGTGATTTCTGGTTACGAGAGGTCCAGTTCCTTGGACATCTTGTTAACCAGGATGGGATATTGGTCGATCCGGCCAAAGTGGAGGCAGTGATGAGTTGGGAGGTGCCGAGGTCACCCTCCAAGATCAGGAGTTTTCTAGGGTTGGCCGGTTATTATCGGAGATTTATCAGGGATTTCTCTAAGATCGCAGTGCCACTCACTAGGTTGACCCGGAAGGGTGTTGCTTTTTCATGGGGCCCCGAGCAGCAGGCCTCCTTTGAGATGCTTCACCAAAGGTTATGCGAGGCCCCGATGTTACCCCTCCCAGAGGGAATGGAGGACTTTGTTGTATACTGTGATGCATCGATTTTGGGGTTGGGAGCGGTGCTGATGTAGAGAGGGCATGTGATAGCGTATGCATCGAGGCAGTTGAAGCCTCATGAGACGAGGTATCCCACACATGACCTAGAATTGGGAACAGTGGTGTTCGCCCTCAAGATTTGGCGCCATTATTTGTATGGGGTTCGATGTACGATATACACGGACCATAAGAGTCTGAAGTATTTGATGGATCAGCCCAGCCTAAATATGCGGCAGAGGAGGTGGTTGGATGTGGTTAAGGATTATGATTATGGGATCCTGTACCATCCGGGCAAGGCTAATGTGGTAGCCGACGCCTTGAGTCGTCGGGCGGAGAGCGCCCCATTGCGAGGTGTATGTTTGCGTTTGACCGTGATGACTCCGGTGTTGGACACCATTCGAGGAGCATAGGTTGAGGCAGTGAGGTCGGAAAACCAAAAGAGAGAGTGAGTTGTTGGATTGGTATCGAAGATCGTTACCGATGGTCGGGGGCTGATGACTTTTCATGGGCGTATTTGGGTACCGTTCGTGGGAGGTGCGTGTGATATTTTGATGGAAGAGGCTCATCGGTCGAAATTCTCGATCCATCCTGGGGCCACTAAGATGTATTTGGATTTGAGGAGGGAGTATTGGTGGCCCTGTATGAAGAGGGATGTTGCGTGGTTCGTTGAGAGTTGCTTAACCTGCCGTAAGGTTAAGGCCAAACATCAAAGACCGCATGGTAAGTTGCAGCCATTGGAGGTTCCTGAATGGAAGTGGGAACAGATCACCATGGATTTCATCACCAAATTGCCAAGGACTGCTCGGGGAGCTGATGCAATTTGGGTGATTGTGGATAGGTTGATGAAGAGCACTCACTTCCTTGCCATCAGCGAGAGTTCTTCCGCAGAGAAGTTAGCAGAGATATATGTGAGGGAAGTGGTATCTCGGCATGGGGTGCCGATCTCGATTGTCTCCGACCGGGATGTGCGTTTCAATTCCAGATTCTGGAAGAAGTTCCATGACGAATTGGGTACTAGGCTGCATTTTAGTATCGCATATCACCCTCAGACAGACGGACAGAGTGAGCAGACGATTCAGACCCTCGAGGACATGCTCCGAGCATGTGTATTGGATTTCAGTGGAAGTTGGGATACGTATTTGCCATTGACCGAGTTTTCTTACAACAACAACCATCATTCGAGCATTGGTATGCCACCCTTTGAGCTGTTGTACGGGAGGAAGTTTCGGACCCCCATTTGCTGGGGAGAAGTCGGGCAGCGCGTTATGGGCAACACTGAGATAGTGCTTCAGACGACAGAGCAGATCCAGCAGGTCAGACAGAGGTTACTGACTGCGCAGAGTCGACAGAAGAGTTATGCGGACAGACGCTGGTCCGAACTTGAGTTCCAGGTCGGTGATTTTGTGCTCCTGATGGTCTCTCCTTGGATGGGAGTGATCCGATTCAGGAAGAGGGGCAAGTTGGGGCCCCGATATATCGAACCATTTCGGGTAGTCGCGAAGATAGGTAGGGTAGCCTATCGCTTGGATTTGCCAGTAGAGTTGGGGCAGATTCACGACACTTTCCATGTGTCGTAATTGCGGAAGTGTATAGCCGATGAGTCGGCATTGGTTCCATTAGATGATATTCAGGTGGATGCGAGCCTGAATTATGCTGAGAGACCAGTGGCCATCAGAGATCGGAAAATCAAAATTCTGAGGAGCAAGGAGGTACCTTTGGTTTTGGTCCAGTGGCAACACCGGAAGGGGTCCGAGATGACGTGGGAACCGGAGGGGGAAATGCGAGAGCAGCATCCGGAGTTATTTGAAGAGTGAGACTTCGAGGGCGAAGTCTAGTTCTAGTGGGGGAGAATTGTAACAACCCAGAATTTCCAGGTATTTTTATTGGTTTATTTTTGGAAATTGTGAGCGGACTCAGCAAGTTGGAGCCCAAACTCGCCGAGTAGGATCACGGAATTGGGCACGGGTTCGCGTCCGGACTCGGCGAGTCCACGCTGTGTGGTGAAACCCTAATTTCCGGGGTTTAAGACCAATTTAAAGGGCCTTATGGCCATCATTGGTGCTCACCAACCCTTAGAGAGAAACCCTTGAGTGCTTGAACGTTTTGAGAGAGAAAGGAAGCATTTCTTAACCTTGTGTGTGTTATTTAGCAAAGAAGGAGGAGGTTCTAGACAAAAGGAAGCAAAGGAGGTTGCTATACTGTGGATTTGAAGCTTAGATCATCGATCTAGAGGTATGATTTCGGCTCATCTTCTGTTTTGTGAAGTATAATGGGATTTAGGGTTTCTTATGGACATTATTGGGTTGATTTGATGCCAAATAGTTCCCTTCTTGTGTTGAGGCTCTGGATCTGGATCCATAGAGGTCCAGAGAGCCTCATTCATCAAGCTTTATGTATAGCAATGAAGTTTATGACCTTGAGTTGTAGTATTTGAGACAAAAGCATCATATATGGTCATATAGATATTGTATGTGCATCAAGATAGTGACATTACATGCTAAATAAGCTTGGAAGGACTGGATCTATGGGTTAATGGATTGGATCTGACCTTATGAGAAAGTTTGAGTCATTGCATGGCACGGACTCACCGAGTATGAAGAACAGACTCGACGAGTAGTATGAATATTGCCTCGACCACACAGCGAGTGGTCTTGCCAAGTTGGGGAGGGTTGACTCAGTTAGTCAGGGGGAGTCAGAGTGGACAGGTGGACTGAATCAAGCTGGACTCACCGAGTTGTTCTTGAGACTCGGCGAGTTGAGTCATGGTGGCCCCACAACTCATGCCAGGTGGAACTCGTCGAGTTAGGAGAATACTCGACGTGTTAAGGGAGGATTACAGGGAAATCAGTGTATACACTAAGACTCGCCGAGTTGCTATAGTGCACTCGCCGAGTCCGGTCAAAGTTGACCGTTGACCATTGACCAGCGTTGACCTAAGTTGACTTGTCAAGGGTAGTCAACCTTAGTTCGGAAAGTGTTAATTAGAGATGTATTGTGCTATAGGAGGGCTATAGCTCGGGAGATCGAGCACTAGTGATTTCAGGACTTACGAATTATCGAGACACGTGAGGTGAGTCTTCTCACTATACTTTACCTTGAGTTGGTAACTAGAGTTATGTGATACAGTTTTTGTATGCTATATATGTATTATGTGTTGCGCTGCATTATTCTATGTGATTTATGCTGTGCATGTTTACAGAGTTAGAACCTGAGGGTTCACGGAGTTTGGGTGCACGGACCCACAGAGTTATAGCCTCGAGTGGCTAATATGTGTTATATGTGGTATTTTGGGGAACTCACTAAGCTTTGTGCTTACAGTGTTTGATGTTATTTGTTGCAGGTACTAGTGACGATCACGGGAAGGCTCCGGCTTGATCAGTACACACGAGTGGGATTTATGATTTTGAGATCTTGGGATTTGTATTACTTAGATTGAAAATTTAAATATGGTTGTTTTCTGAATATTAATTGAATTATGTTTTATAAAAATTTGAAAATTTTGTTTTGAAATTTACAGTGTTACAATAAGATGACTTTGAAATCGCAATACGTATACGGATGGCCACAAATTTGTTGCTAAAACCTAGCGTAATTGTTTCAGCCAACTTTGACTTCCTTACAGTGGCCGCCTCAGCGTCGTCGGCACTTTTAGGAACCGACACATCTTTAACCTCGAAACCATCAGATTCACGCTTCCTAGGTTGTAAACCAAAACATACCTTAATCATAGCTAGGGTTTGTAACGTTGAGTAGTCTTTGTAGTCTTCGGTGAGGTGAGGTGAGCCCGAGGTCGTCGGTAAAAAGAGATGAGACAATGTCGCTGGTGGAAAGAGATGAGTCGAGGTCGCCGGTGGAAAGAGATGAGCTGAGGTTGCCAACGGCAGGTGAGGTGAGGTAGTGAATGTTACAGAGAGCACTCCTTGAAAAAATCCCTAGACAATAGGCCTGCATTTTTGTGATAAGAGAAATACTCTGGACACGCGCGTTCATTTTAAAAATTATAAATCGACATGCTCACACGACACATTATTTTTAAAAGGTGCCCTCTGTGTTTATTTTTTTTTCGTTTTGACACTATTTTTAGGGCATGCAAAAATGCGTGACCTAAATTCTTAAAATTTTAGAGGAGATGACATTAGTTTTAGGACGTACACTTTTGCGTATCGTAAATCACTGCATGTCATGGTTTTTGCGTCGTAAAAGGATGTTTTTCTGGTAGTGAAGTTTATAACTTTATGGCTTAGGACGTTTTTAGGGACATGGATATGTGTTATAGATGTTAGAGCTTATCGAAATAAGTCACTAGAAGGATTTTGTGTTGGTTAGCCAGTACGCTTGGCATACTCCATGGTACGCCACTTGTACTGGGTCAACCACTCGTATATGGTCAAGGAAAGTGTATGTTGGGAGTACATGTAGAGTACGCCGCGTGTACGCATGTAGTGGGTAAAATTGATTTTCGGGCTCTAGGTTATTGGGCCTTGGACTGTTGGACTTCAATCCCACTTGTGGATTTAGGCCCATGGGCCTAGGGCTATGATGGATGGTTTTTGGGCCATATTGTGCCTTAGAGTTTATTTGATTGGGCTTGGACATTTTGGGGTTGTTAGGCCTTAGGAGGAAGAGACCTAATAGGGCAAGGATTAGGAAACCATTTAGCTCAAGACATAAATTAGGGTTTAGGTCTTGGAGTCCGAATGTGATCTAATGACTAATTAGAAATTTATGTTGTGCGATAAGAAGAGGAGTTCACGAGTCATCAGTCGAGTACGATTTGCCGCCCCCAGTTTGAGGTGAGTCACCCTCCGTAGAATTCGTGGTTCGAAGGCACCAAGTCCGGCACACTAGTTATGATATAGTATGATGATTTTCTTTGTGATAATTATCATTTGTGCATGTATTGTTTGATGATTTTGATGAATTATTGGTGATATTATGTGGTACCGGTAGGGGTGAAATAGACATTGTATCTGGACGAATTAGACCGAAGAGGAAGGTGGAGCACCCAGATATGCTCGGTGTTATCTGGTTGGAAAAGACCAAAGGGGCATGTGGAGCACCCAGATTTACTCGACACTATCCTGTCAAAGTAGACCGAAAGGGTAATCTGTGCATCCAGATATGCATGGAAGTATGTTGTTCTAGTATGTGGTATGGTGGTGGAATTCGTTAAGCTTTGTGCTTACCGTTTCATTTTGTGTTTTAGGTACTTCCAGCTCAAAGGGGATGGGGCCGACATGATCTCATCACATCACACTATGAATTTCCGCAGTAGAAATTTAAGGACTTGTGCTCTGATAATAATTTTCTATGATTTGACTTGATTATGTACTATGACTATCTTGTGTTCTCATGGTTTGAAATTAAAGATGTTTTTTTGTCATGGATTTTGTAAACTTAAAATGAAATTTTGTGGTCGTATGTTTGGGATGTTACAATATATATATATATATATATATATATATATATATATATATATATATACATATATATATATATATATATATATATATATATATATATATATATATATATATATTTTCTTTGTACGTATAACAATAGTTAAGAAAGTGATTTCAATGAATCTTTAAAAGCCAAAATGTATTTTTGTATAAGTAAATTCATACTTAAAACCGTGTTTGTAATGAATCTTTAAAAGCCAAAATGTATCTTTTGTATAAATAAATCCATACTTAAAACTATGTTTGCACTGAATCTTTGAAGTTCCTTGAAAACCAAACTGTATTGTTATATAAGTAACTCCATACATAAAATAGTATTGAAAACAAACGAGTCCATAGTTTGTAGTGTGAAAGAGAGATATTCTAATTCATGTTTATAGTGATTCCTATAATCGACCTATGTCACTAAGTTTATACCCTACAACGCTTCATTGAACATTGTAGTAACATTTGTAGACGCTTATCACCCGCTTCGATTAATCGGTCGAGATTGTAGCTAGCAACCGTAGGTGGGGATGTAAACCCTGTATAGGTCTATACATATGTATTTCTCTCCGAAGATTAATGGTTACAGTAGTGTGGGTATGCCAAGTGTTTAGACTCAGCTAATGAATGTTGTCTCACTAAAAAGCCCTTAACTAAAAAGTATGTGAATAGCTCTCATCCCTAATTTAATCTTTCTTAAGTCACTAGGCATAATGAATTTCATTGTATAAAGTTTATAAAAGCCAATTATGCGTGGAATGTATGTCTGTAGAAGTGTAATGTACTCGCTTTTATAAATACGTATGTTTCAAAGTAGTGAACATATTTACATGTATAAACTTTATATATGTAAACATATAGATATAAATGAATAGGAATAACTTAAATGCTTGAAATACTACAAAGTTTTATAATGTGCTTGTTATAATATACAATGTCACATAAAAATCACATATTTTTGTATCATGTAGCATTTGTTGTGTGAACTAGTTATTTCACGATAAAATAACCATAACACGTATACAAAAAATTATACTAGTTTATTTGTAACAATATGTTAAATTGTTAAATAACATTTTGATAAACCAAATTTATTGTATTTTCGCATAAATGATAATATATTTTTATAAACAAAGTATATAGGCACATGTATTACCTTTGAAGCATGAATTCCATTGCTTTAAATTAGATTTCTTTTGAGAAACTTGTCTTTAGAAACGGCAAATCCATAATTCTTGAACTTTGAAATTCTCTCAGGACCGTTTCGTAATGAATTTAAACTAGTGGGGCTATTTTGTAATTTAATTAACCGAAATAGGACTGCTTTGGGTAAAATAAATAGAGAGAGGGACTGAAATGGGTTAAATGGTATTAATGTTTGAGAATTAGACTAATTTTCATATGAAATGTCTATGGAGGAGTTGATCTATCTTAAACAAACCAAAGTTTGGCAAAAAGGGGCTTATATTAAAAAAAATGTTACAACAGGGTTTATCTTGTCATTTTATCGAAGTTGGAAGGAATTAGGGCTTTCTTGTCCTGTCTTATGTTTGATCTGTCAAATAGAAGGGACGATCTCAAGTAGAACATGAACGAACGAGTACAGTCAGGAAGGGGGCACACGAAGCTAGCAATGATGCTTCTGATTCCTTGCTCGTCGCAGACCACAAATTTTATATACTTACATATGTATATATTTTTAGGTATTTTGGTAACAATTTTATATACATATAATGTAAATGTATAGTTGTTATTTGATTTCCATTTGACAATATAATATAAATGTATCATTTTATGGGTTAAATGGACCCATGTGAGTAGGATTTGAGCTTTATATAAATAATAACCCAAAGTTTTTATCATATTTGCTTTATTATTATACTTAGTAAATCATTTATGACATATATATATATATATATATATATATGTATGTATATATATATATATATATATATATATATATATATATATATATATAGATTCTCGTATATTATATTATTGAAATGTCACACTTCTTATTACATATATACTATAGTTAATTTATGTTCATTACACACACATATATAGTATATTTTATGAAAACTATAGCAAATTCTTATAATTGTTCGTAACTTATGTTCTATGCACAAATGTATATAGTTGAACATGAATTTAGAAATATGGGGCTACTTCCATCGTTAAAATCCACATCATCCGGATTTGGATTCTTAAATTTTTCTAGAATACATTACCAATAATAGAAATTTTGCAGAAATAAATAGTTTAATGTTTCGTGATTAATAAATCTGAAAATATATGACTTTTCTCAACTTTTATAAGTATTTTTACTACAACTAATTCAAGTATCAAATTAAATATTAGACTATGACCTGAGTCCAAAAACGTTCTCAAAATTTCCATATGTGGTGTGGTAGTCACTCAACGGATAGAAAGCTTAACAACTCTTATCGGCTATGATATGCTAGTGACCTACAGGAAAGAGTGCGTAGAAAAAGTTGTTGTTGACACTATTGTTGTTGCTAGCTTGTTGTTCTTGATGCTTATCTGGAAATAATGAGTGCGACACAGCCCGACATTTCCCGACAGGAAATGAGATACAGGTTGTTTAGCAGTTTTATGAAAATTAGTATTATACTGGTTTGTATTCTTAAAACGGTCGCATTTTTTGGTTACAAACTCCGTTTTGGACATTCTTTATATTTTTGGAAATAGGGAAACACATACTATTATACTAGAGTCTTTGTATTGCTCACAACTTCTTATTACAAAATTTCAGTTTTTCAGAAACGTTAATTAAGGTTGTAGTTTGAGCAATTTAATTCGTTTTCCAGTTTACTCATTTGGAGGTAAGATACCCTATGATATCTTATAGTAGTTAAAATGAAATCATTTATGTCACATAAGATACACTAAAACTCAATGAATCAAATTACCAAGAAGTTTACTTTGAACTTGACTGTTGACAGTCTTTGACCTAAATTTCGGGATGTCACGTTACCTCCCTGTTAAGGGAATTTCGTCCCGAAATTTTTTAGTTCTAGATTATTTTGTTCTAATATTGTTTCGTTCCACTATTGGATGGAGCACCACTGAAAAGTTGTGGATGTTTTTGCTTCATCTGGTTCACACGTTCCTAAGTAAACTCCGACCCTTTACGAGAGTTCCATCAGACTTTTACTATAGTAATGCGGCTTTGTATGAGGCTTTTGATTTCTCGATCCATGATTTCCACTGATTCCTTCACGAAATGAAGTTTAGTGTTGACTTGGATCTCATCGAGTGGATAGACAGGGTTCTCATTACATAGACACTTTTTAAGAATACACACATGGAAGGTATCGTGAAATTTATTGAGTTCTTGTGGAAAATTCAGTTTCTAAGCCATTGGACCAACCCTTGCCAGTATTTCAATAGGTCTGATGTATGGGGGTTTTAGTTTTAGCATGTTTTTCAAATCAAATGACATCTTTCCATACTATGACCTTTTGTAGGACATGGTCTCTTACTTTGAATTCTAAGGGTTTTCGTCTCACGTTAATATAGATTTTTTTGCTTACTATGTGTGGCCTTTAATCGTTCCTTTATCTAAATGATCTTCTTTGTTGTTTCATGAATGATCTCAAAACCAGTGTGTAAAGTATCTCCATCATGCTTTTTATCTAGTTAGGTATCTCTAACTTCTGCCCAACATATCATAGAATGAAATCTATGTCCGTGCAAGACCTCGAATGGAGCGACCTTTATGCTAGTGTGATAACTATTATTATATGAGGATTCATGTAACGGCCAGTGAGCACCCCACGAATTAATACAGTCTATCACCCAAAAACGGAGCATATCTTCTAGAGTTTGTATCATACTTTCACTCTGCCCATGTTGGATTAGGTGTCTAAGCCCATAAATATAATTGATATATACTTGAATTGATAGTAGCACAGTCCTTTTGGGTTTCCGTTAAGACTAGAAACTAGGAATGATGATTTTGGAGAAAGATGTTGATTTATTATTTGATTAATAGATTGAAATAAATGATTTTTTAATATATTATGATAATAATATATTAATTAGAAATAGTAATATTTAATTGATATTTAATCGAAAATTAATTAGAACTAATTTTAGGATTAAAAGAATTAATTAAAAGTGCAG